TTTTTTGTTAACATGCAAAAGTGAAGAAATTTAGTTTTTTTTCTTTTTTTCAAATCAAGCCCAGATAGTGCAACGAAATCAGTTCTCGCACTAAACACTGATTTTGTGCTCAGATATATTTTTTTAATTATTATGTTTCGAACATTGCCCTCTTACTCTTAAATAATACTCCTATTTTCTTGTAAATCATATTAGATCTCAGAAATATTCTAATTTAAACTATACCATTGTAGTAAATTATACCAATCGATCAAGACCACTAATCTGAGGGTAAATTGTTTGTACGATCCTTATTAAATCGGATTAAGTTAATGCCTTATGCTTGGAACGTTCCATCGAGTCTTTTGTCTTTTCCTAGAGGCAGAGAATTAATTAGGGGAGTATATAACACGCCGTGACGTCGCCGCAAGCAGGTGAAGAAAATTGTACTCGTGGGGGTGTGCACGCTTGCCGACGTTGAACCGACAAGTTGCAAGAACCATTTAAACGTCTGTCATTGTGCAAATGCAGATGTTCACATGATTATTTATCATACTGAACAAAATTAGGACTTTTCTGACTTGATTGATAATATCTATTCTATAAAAGTTCTATTTAAAAAAAATTCATTTCACTCATTTACATATTTTGTTTTATGTATGAATGTATTATGTTATGTATGAATATAATTATGTATGAAAATTTTCGTTGTATCTAGAGAACACTTCCCCTACTATAAAAGCAATGACGATCGTTGGAAAAATTCGGTGCGACACAATCTCTCCATAAATCCCCACTTCAGAAAAGGATCAAAGGCGCCACATGGAGCTGGACATCTATGGGCCATTGCAAATCGCTCTGGAGATCCCAGACCTAGACAAACCATTAATAATTTTAATGTTAATTCTACCTTAAAGCAGATTAGCAAGGACACTGTTGAAGTTGAGAACCTCAGGAAAAATATCAGGTGATCAATCATTGTTCAGATAAATATTCATGACCAGAATGTTTATTTACCTTGATCATTGGCATTTTTCAGTCAAATGAATCCAATAGATGAGGTAGAAGCAGCGACTGCCAGCATTACTCAACAGTCTTCAGAGGAAGAGGCTGAGAATATAGTGAATTCCGTAACATTGGAACACTGCGCTGAAGAAATCCTTAGTGGTATCAAGAAAGAAGTGGAGGTACAATATCTAGTACCTATGATGGTGTCTAGCAATGAACATGAATCTACCCAGTCCAATCAACAAACACAGGGGCTTCATTATCCTGTGAAAGAGAGTGGTAATCTAATTAGTCAAACAAGTAGCAAAAATTGCGTGAGAAGAAAATTTAATTTTGAATGTCATTGGTCAATCTCGCAAATGTATCTTTATAGATTTCCTTAATCCAGTGTCGAAGGAAGTAGTTGCCGAAGAATGTGGACTAATTAGCGAAGGCTATCTAGTCACAGACTTAAATCCCACTACTTTGGGCTTGAACATGGTTGAACCAGAAATCATTACACCTGAAAATCTCTTCGGTGAGGAGTTGAGTTTCCAATTCTACGAATTATCATCTCCATCGCAGACCCAATCTGCCTGACACACGGAGAAAAATAAGTTGCGATTAATTGTCATTGACGAGCTGCACGTGCAAAATATTCAGGGCTGCGATCAAGTGGAAAACAAAGTAGATATTCACAATGGTATCGATGAAAAGGAATTTCAGGAATCGATGGTTGAAAGCTGATTTTCTTTCCGATGCAGCAAGACTCGTATATAAATCAGAACGAAAATGACTATTGAATTTCTTTGAAGGTTCTCGGAAACAAACGAAGCGAACAAAGCTGAACGGGATGCAGCGTATCATTGCTCCACTATTCCTGGATATGTGTTTTATCGTGTCATTTAATACTACACATTAGTATAGTTTTCTTCTAGCTCTTACAGAATAATATGTACCGTTTTTTTGTATTAGCAAAAGAAAATACGATATTTACTACGAGCTGTAAATATTATTATTCTTTTAAACACCAATTACTTTGGAAGTTTTATATACTGAGAAGTAGGTATTTAATTAACAATGGATGTTTATAAAGCGTTCATTTTACTATGTAGAAATTATTTTACAATATAACATGTTTTCATCAAAGCTGTCCGTTTTGTAAATATTTAATTATCTTTTCTCAGAGTCTGCTGTGTGGTCCTCCTCTTCTTTAGTCTGAGCTTCTTTTTTAAGCAATTTTTCTGCATATTCTTGTTGTTTCTCAATCATCCTTGCTTTCTTAAAGGCCTTCTTCAATTTCTTTTCATCTTTCTCTGCCTTACTCAATGCCTCTGCTAGTTTATCTTTGGACATGGTTCCTTCGGCTATCAGTTGACGCCTGATCTCCTCAATTCTACTTTCCTTTTTCTTCTTAGCTTCCAATTCTGCCTCTTGTTTTGCAGCTATTTTTGCATGTACGTTATTTATCAATTCTTGCATTGTTGCCATTTTCTTCTGTATTTCAGCTTGCCTACAAACAAATACATATTTAAGTATTCTTTACAATGCACACTCATTACATTATTAAATATACCTAGCTAATATCGCCTCTTCTTCCATTTTCTTCTTTTCTTTAATTTCTCGCAATCTTTCTTGAATGTTTAATGGATGTGCAAGACTTTCGTATTCCTTCATGTCCTCTACTTCTTCAGGAGTAGGCCAAGCCAATCCTGCAGGGACTCCTAAAGCTTCCATTCCGTACCTCCCTAATGTTCGTCTTTTGTACCTGACAGTATCGTGATACCAACTTTGTGATTCCTCGTACGGCTTTTGTCCTAATAATATATTTCTATGTGCCTTCGTTAGTCTCGACTTATTCCTCTTCTTCTCTAACTCAACCGTATTTCTTTCGTGCACAAAAATAGGTTCCTCCTCCGCGGATTCGATAATGTCTGTGTTCGAAGAGTAACATCTCGCACTAATATTTTGAAATCTTAATTTCAATGATACATTAAATATTTGGCGTTTTATAGACATCTTGTGCTATTCCTCTGTTTACTTTCGCGTCGTTTTATTGTATCTTGTACAACACAAAGTTATCCGTAGTTACTGTAAGTCAGATCGTGAGAAACGTTTCTTCAACTTGTTTAAATCGTCCACCTATTTTTCTTTGCAATTACAATTAATATTTCCGATTGAAGTCTTTAAATTCTTTTCACAGTTCGTACATGAATATAAAGTGAGGTTATGTGACATAATGATAGTTTGTCTTGTGTATTGCACCTAACTTAACGTTACAGTCAGCTAGGTTATGTTAAACAAAAGCACGAGTACTTGAGCAGCCTGTTTGTTTCGACGATATTGTAAGTTTAATATTATATCGATATGATATAATATAATTTAATAACGATTAGATTATTATATTATATTCGATTTAACTTGATAATAACAAAATTTACATTTTTATTGTTAATAGACAAAATTTGATACAAATAACCAAATGGGTCGATTAGCAGAGGTACGATATTTATCAGTTTGAAAATAAAACGCACGTTTTGCAACACAGAATGTGACAATTATCGAAATTTCGTTTTTTATACAGGTAGCTAGCGAGCAGTCATCCGAAAAGTGTAAAACTTTTGTATTTATGGGCGAAGGTTATACTTTGGGAAACTCCTTGGTGGCAGTGATCACGCAAAAGTACGCGGTATTAGTCAAAATATAAATTCAATAATACTAAGTTACTTGTATTGATTACTGATGATGTTTTCTTTTACAGTCCCGACGTAGAATTCTGTGCTTGTTTCGTCAATCATCCTGCAGAAGGAAATATATATGTGAGGATCCAGGCAAAGACAGGAAAAGCTATAGACATATTAAGGAAAGGATTGGAAGATCTAGATAAAATCTGTGACCACACTTTAGAAACTTTTAAAAATGCCTATGAACAATTTAAACCCTCCAAAGAAATGTGTGTGGATAGTACATAAATGTTTTTAGAAAAATAAAAATTTATTATATGTAAATGTAGACGTTTATGCAAATTCATACTTTTATTAAAATGGCTGCAAAATGTGAAACCTTGACACATGCTTTGCTTCGAACGCTTCCTTTTGACATGCCATATTGGCATTTAAATTAAATTTTGAACTTTGCATAAATATTCGCAGTTTTCCTGTAAAATGCGAGACATATTAAGGTTAGAAAAGAAAAGAAAGAAAATCATTTTGGTTACAATCAAATGCTTCGCTTTATTTTGCTTGGACGTTTATTTCTCTAGACAACTTCAGCAATTTTCTGCCCTACGACTTTGTGGTTCTTCGACAGGTAGTCCGCGAATTCTTGATAAGGAGCTTTCCTTAGTGCTTGCTCGTGCCAGAGATCCGGAGTCAAATACGCGTAAGTCTTCGCAATAGCTGCGTAGGTAGCCTTTGCAAAATTGCCGAGAGTACACGTGGATCCTCTGGCCGAGGTGTAGCAATCCTCTATACCAGCCATTTGTAACAGTTTCTTGGGCACTGGCGCTGACACAATGCCCGTGCCTCTTGGTGCTGGTATCAGACGCACTTGAACCGATCCACATTTGCCAGTGACTTTACAGGGGACAGTGTGAGGATCACCAATCTTATTCCCCCAGTATCCACGACGTACAGGTACGACTGAAAGCTTGGCCAGAATGATAGCACCACGAATGGCAGTGGCCACTTCTTTGGAACATTTTACACCCAGGCCAATGTGGCCCTTGTAGTCGCCGATAGCTACAAAAGCCTGTAAAATAGGATTAAAATTCACAAAATAATCCCTCTTGGGTTACTTAATCGTGCTGTGGATGAATGTAATGTTGAGTTTCAGACAAACCTTAAAACGAGTACGTTGTCCAGCTCTTGTCTGTTTCTGCACCGGCATGATCTTCAGCACTTCGTCTTTCAAATCAACGCCGAGGAACTTGTCGATGATCTCATACTCCTTGATTGGTAAAGAGAAAAGGTAGATCTGTTCCAAGGAGTCGATCTTGCCATCTCTGACAAGACGTCCGAGCTTGGTCACTGGGATCCATTCCTTGCTATCCTCTTTACCACGTCCACGACCACGACCTCGTCCTCTGCCTCCGCGGCCTCTGCCTCTTGGACCTCCGCGGTCACCTCCTCCACGAGAACCAAACCCTCCACGAAAGCCTCCACGTGCGGCTGGAGCAGTGTCCGCCATCTGTTAGAAAAAGAAGAGGAAAAAATGAATTTTATTAATATATTTTAAATAATTAAACACTGTTATCTTCACGATGATCATCAGATTAGGTTGGGTACTTTAACTTGTATAATCTAGAAACACGTGTCTAACAATTAATGCGTATTTCAAATTTTTTTGTCACAAAATTTAACTTTTACAACATTTGTCGTGGAACTGTTATCATTCACGAAAATGCGGTAAAAATGTGTTTCGCGAACGATTGAATAACGAAATCGAGAAAATTACGCGGAGCATACTTACATCACCTCTTTCTTCCAACTACAATTGCGGAAGAATAATCAATACGAATACCAAGTCTTATCAGATCGAGACAATTCGATATATCGATTAGATGTCATATCCGATATTTGAATGTACATTTCAGTGAAACAGAAGCTATCAGTATTTTCGTTTAAATTATTTTTAGTATATTCAACTCGTTCTCATTTTTATCTTCCTTTGTTCCTCTCTAGTTTCTTAGATAATTATTTTTTAAATGTTTGGAGCGACACCGCGCGTAAAATAGGCCGGAGATTTTGTCGTACTTTGTATCGGGCATGTTTAATTAGACAAGATGGTTAAATGATTCTGATACATGGAAACTCTACTCCATCGCTAATCTTAATTGGTAAATCGAGAAACAATCTCGTAAATTATCGTAAAATTTATGAATCTCTGAAACGAAATATTTATAGTATATAGATTATCAATTACCTAACCTCCATAATGAAAAGAAAACTTGGAATTCTTAATCTTTTCTTTTTTTTTTTTAATAAAACAGCGATAAAAGCAACTTTGAACAACGACGACTGAATTGCGATAACTTTGAATTTCGAATTATAACGATAGGACCAATAGGATGTCACTTGTAGATCGCGAAATCTCATGACGAGTTTGGACCAGACTTCATCCGAGGAAGCTGTTCTATTAACACGTGGTTACAGATTTTTGAAGAAGCTGGGTGAAGGTGCTTACGCGAAGGTTAATCAACTGTTTAACAAAATCACAAATTGGGAATTCGAAAACGATACGGTACTCGATTTGCGAGAGGGCGGTAAAAATTTAAAATTTCTCCTCCCCCCCTCCCCCCTCGGTCGGTAACATCATTCTCCACTTGATAAATTTGAATTCACCAAATATATCCTTTTGCAATATCTCCTCGACTGGCGTGAAAATTCACGTGTTATTCGATCGTAGGTGTACCTGGCCGAGTACAAGCCCGAATCAGATCCAGAAAGAAACAGTACTTTGGCGTGCAAGGTGATTGATACCGGGATAGCACCGAAGGACTTCGTCCGAAGATTTCTTCCCCGAGAGCTCGACATTCTGGTGAAGTTGAACCATCCTCACGTGGTGCATGTGCACAGTATATTCCAGAGGCGTACGAAGTATTTCATATTCATGCGTTACGCCGAGCACGGCGACCTACTCGAATTTATACTGAAGAACGGTGAGGTTGCAGAGGGACAGGCGCGCATATGGCTTCGGCAGCTTGCTCTCGGTACTGATTAGAAACGAGTTTAAAAACGCATTACGACATGGGAATTCTTAATTTAAATTCAACAAAATTAAACAAAATAATTTTGCCTGTAAATAATTGTTCTCTGCTAAGAATCTTACCTAATTTCTTTTCTTTTTTTTTTCTTCAGGTCTTCAATACCTGCACGAAATGGAGATCGCTCACAGGGACATGAAATGCGAGAACGTGCTACTAACATCGAATCTCAACGTCAAGATCGCTGATTTCGGATTCGCCCGCTACGTGATAGACAATCGAGGCAAACGCATTCTGAGCGACACTTACTGCGGCTCGTTGTCGTACGCCGCCCCGGAGATCCTTCGTGCTTCACCGTACAATCCGAAAATCGCGGACGTTTGGTCCCTTGGCGTCATTCTATTCATCCTCTTGAACAAGTCGATGCCGTTCGACGATACGGATATCAAACGCCTGTACGAGCAGCAGACGAATCGCAAATGGAAGTTTCGCAGTAAGATTGCGCAGGATTTAAGCGAGCAAGTAAAGAAGCTGGTGTCTCATCTTTTGGAGCCCGACATCTCCAAACGCTGGAAGCTGGACCAGATCATAAACAGCGATTGGATCGCCATGGATCGAAGACTTCTGATGCTCACACCTGCTGAGCAAGCTGCTCTTAACAACGCGATACAGGAGAGGAAGAAAATCGAGGAGAAAGTCTTCATGAAAGATCCTGTGAATTATTTCTTTATTACATTTATTCATTCTCATAGTTTTAGTGAATGAAACGAAAGAAATTGAAACTAAGTGATACCTGCGCTGTTTGAAACATTAAATAAAATATCTGTTTCTTTTTTTTTTTTTAGAAACTGTTCAAAGTGGAGGAGAAGAAAAAGCCGGACACGAACAAGACGAAAGCTGAGGAGGTCACCGTGATTAAGAAAGCTGCCAAAGTTCGTCCATTATTTTATTTCCTTCGTCCTTTTCTTTTGAACAGATGTATAGAATTATTTCTGATTCTCAGGTAACAATGTCTTCCGTTGCTACTGACACATTATTTAAACACACTTAGCTAAGGAGTGAATTTGAGAAATACGTGTATTAAATTGTAGCCTTCAAATTATCTGGGACGACTGTTGGAAGAATTTCTCTTGTACATCTTGAATAGTCTTGTACGCTTTTCAAAGCTTCCATTTTATTACACTTCTTCCATAGTACCAAGTAACAAAAATTGCACATCATTCATTGAAACAGTCAAGTATTAACGAAATAACATTAAACATACTTTTCGTTTAAATTTTTCAATACCAACGATGCCAAAGACCATGAAACTTTAGTTTCTTATGTATCGTGCTTTCATTAAAGTTGTATCATTTTTTGACGTGCATTTTACATAAAAATTATGCCCATCGATGAACGTCTCCACTTTCTTTTTGAAAGGAATTTCAATAATATATCGAGGACTCGCTAGTCCTTCAAGGTCCCACACACCGTCTGACAGTAATAATAAAAGCTGATCGTTCGGAGATACAATCATTTCGAATACATCCGTGGCTGGTAAAACGTATTCTTGCAAATCGTCCCACGGTTGATACCGTAGGACCAAGGTCTGTGTGGCCAGTCGCAAAACGATCCACAAGGCATGCATTCTTGATTGCACGAACGCTTCCATTATTCTTGGAATGTATAACTCTGCAGATTTTAGTTGAAACTGTATTAAAACTGTACTCCTTCGACATTTGGATCTATTTGTTTATAGACTGCGGATATTCATGCAAAACTATAAAAAAAAGTAAAAGCCAAAAGCGAAGTACAATAAAGTACATTTTTACTTTATTAAACTTTCAATTCTTTGTCCGGGCCTCTAAAACTATAAATTTACAAATATCCGCAGTTTCCTCGTTAACTATTAGAACTGTTCGAATTTCAATAAAGTAAAGAGGGATCAAATGAACTTGGACAAACCTTTTGAATGGACGAGATCGCTCTTCACGCGATTAAATGAAAATATAGATACAGAATCGAATTTTACAAGTACGATGAACTCTTCTTCGTCCATCACAATTGATTTTAATAATATAAAATTGCTGTTGTTTGTTTGCTGTGTTAACTGTGTGGTGTTCAATGCAGAGTTATTGATGCAACGAGAAGAAAAATTTGCCAATATACATTGTACTGTCTGAACAGTCGCAGATTCGTTTAAAGCACCGATGGTGTCCTTTATGACTTCCAACTTACTTATATAAACAGCCCGGTCTATAACGATAGGATATTTAATAATAATTAAAGTTAGTTACTGTTTCAGGCAGGTATGCCACCTTGTTAATTTCAAAAAATTGCCAAGAAGCAAAGGCCACAATGCTCTGTGGCATACCCTCCTAAAAATTTGGAAAAAAAAATGGTAAAAGAAATACTTTGTAGAGCTGTTCTAATTTCTTCTGCCGCCTCTAAAGATCTCTCCATTTTTTCAGCAACGGGCAAAACATTTGAGTAGCTTGTGTAAAAGTTCTTCATCTCTGCTGCGTTGTAAGTACCTCTAACTGTAAGATTTCCATGAATATGTAAGCTGTTTTGAAACACAGTCCTTGTTCTTATTGTCTGAAGAGGTTTGTTCTTCTTTAACTGCTGATCTATCAGTTCAGTCAGGTTCACGTCGTTTATTAGGCCATTGACAATAAGCTCAGATGCATTGATGGAACCTTGTATCTTTTTCTGGCCATAGATCGTTTGGTTCGTGGATTTTGTTAATGCTTCTTCTATAATATTTCCCATTACAGTACCAGACACCCTAATAATTAGACATTAATTTTAGTCATTTAATTTGAATCCAAGTATCTGATATTTGGGACAAAATGTTGAAAAAAAGTTTAACGATGTTTAACGATCAATTTTTACTAATTACTTTACGTCATTAAACGTAGCAGTGCTAAACGTCTTTCGCCCCTCTATGTTCAAGTGTTTTTTCGACTTTGTCAAAGCGTTAGCGGCCCATTTATCAAAGTTGTAACCGTTCAAATTCTCCGCGAACAAACGCATGATCGTTTTCTTTCCCATCACAGTGTTCTCTCTCGAGTCTTGTCTCATAACATCTTTCTTAAGATCCAGCTTGTTGATTGTCTGTATCCCATTCAGGTTCCCTGCAATATTTTTCATACGTGTTACACATTGCAAAATTTATTTTCCAAGAGTTCTTTCTTTCATACAACAGTTATCTATAACTTTGACATCACCTGAGATTTTCAACGTATCGAACGTCCACTTCGCCTTCACTTGTTGATCTTTATTCTTTAGCAAAGAATTCTCGAATATGTCGTTGAGACCTAGTACCGAAGACTTCAATCTCGAAACGTTCGAACCCACAATGAAAGGAACTTCGACGTCGTCCAAAAACGCAGGATGCGATATTTCCTGCGACTTTGTTTTGCTTAAAACGCGTTTCGAAATGTCCCTCCACGTTTCGACATTCAATGTGCTCATATTCTGAAAGTGATTGCTGTTTTAATAATGTCAGTGTCCTACAATGTTTTAACGTTCATTGCTCACATTTAGAGTAATATTTCCATTTATTACTATGTTTTTAAAATGCAAATTCGTCCCGAAAAGTGTTGTAGCGTTCGTCGTCAGCCAAACTTCTGATAACAATTTTTCCAGTGCAATATCATTCACATTCGTTATTGTCGGTTCAAGCGAAAACCTCGCAGCTCCCTTTACGAAGACATCAACTGGAGTCTCAGTCTCTGTGATTTTGAAGGAATATGGCAAATTTATTGCACTGGTTTCTATGTCTCCAGATATTCTCTTTTTATGCAGATTCAGATCTTTCTCTGTGTCGATCAAGTGAAATGGAAGATCAGACGCATATATACGATTCGTACTAAAACCATTACCTGAAACAGAGTACTATTAATAAGTTAAACAAAAAAAAATATATATATATTTTAAATTGCAACTCACGAAATGTTATGTTCTGCAAAGATTTCATATCATCGAGTCTTATAGCATTATCCAAGAAATCGATCACATCAATGTTATTGATGTAATCTACATGAGCGTTTTGCTCTAATACCACATTTCTTATTATCTTGGGCAATTCTATGTAAAATGTAACAGGTGATCGAAGAGTGTTCGTTCTCAAGACTTTCGCTTCTATCGAAGTGTTGAGAATATTCGGTACAGCCCATAAATTCACAAGATTCTTTAACTCTGTTAGCAATTGAAATGTTAATGATTAAAGTATGATTTATAATATCAAATAAAATTATAATTAAAAAAGTCTGAACTCAAGTTTTAACTCACCGGTTAAATTCAAATTACCCAGCTGCGTTGTGAACACATCTTTTGCAGTGAAATTGCGGTAGTAGAATTTTCCAAATAAAACAGGCTTGAAAAATATTGTCGAATCATCAATGAAATAGTCGTCATTCAGGTTCCCAAAAATACGTGGACTATTTAATTTCTTCGCGGTAATAACGTCCGCAGTTAACAGCGATGTTCTAACTTCCGGCGCAATAACAGAAGTGGCACATAATTTTAAATCGTTCAAGAACGAATTCTGATTCCTTGAAATAAAGAAAATGTTAGATACATTTGATTCATATCGAGCGAGTAAACTTACTTTGAGAACTTCACGGTATTATAAGAAGACTTTGTTATCTCCACATTTTGAAGAAAATGCTTCTTTCCTGATATCATATTGACATTGTGAAAATTCGCAGTAACCCATTTTGGAAAACCGTGCAAAGTAACGTTGCTCCATTTCTAGGACAAAATTCGATCTTTTTTTTTTACTTGTTACATCACAAAAATGTGTTTCTTATACTTGCAACATTTTCCTCACCATCTTTTCATTTGAAAGAATTAAGGACACTGGTATATTATGTTGCAAAGATATTGCATTCGACAAAGTACTTTTGATTGACCCTGTCTTACTACCAACTAAATTTGTAGATATTAAATTATCAATCTTGGCATTTTCTAAACTGATATTGTTATTCAAAGTCATGGGTTCATTGATGAATATTGTACGTGATAATCTTGATTTCCATTTTCCTTCTATTTTTCCCTTCAAATCAACGAGATCTTTTATTTTTAATTTAGGTGTTTTAATTGAACCAGTAATTGTTGAAAATGAACCATTTAATGGCAATAAAATCCCTCCTGTCGTTAAATTCAGTTGCTTAACTTTTATCTCTTCTATGACAACATCCTGATTTGTTAAATACGTGGCAATATTTAATGGCATAGAAACATTCGCTGCCTTCACAGTGACAAAACTATGCTTCCCTGAAATAAGGTGTTCATAGATTAATTTTTTACAATTGAATAACTTACTAAGAGCTTCAAAGTAGGAATGTGTTACCAGAAACTTCTTGATCACCGGTTACTTTCAGAGCATTTTCTTGCAGATACTTCAAAGTTATTCCATTAACTGACCCAGAAACTGTGACCTCCTCTATCGGAAGACTCAAGACTGGACATCTCCAATTTTTTAGCTTCTTTATATTTAATTCACCCAATGTTCCATTCATCCTCATTGACATTATCAACAAGAGCAAGCGACTCACATACCCTATAACATTCAATCGATTAACTTTACACTTTTGTTTGCATTTCACTTGAACTTTTTTCCCATGCAGCGAAGAAATGGTCACGTTCTTGGGACGCAATTTATTGCTGATGGTAACCTTTTGCGCTTGAAATTTAGAAATCAACTTTTTGTATTGCTTGTACACATCTTTTAACTGTTGCGAGTTTTGTCCATTTATCTACAAAAATGACAAGGATGTAACATTAGATTGACTGGCCTGACTCGATTCAGTCTCAAACGCACAAATTACAAGCTAATTACGTTATGAGTGCGAAGTTGATCAATGTGACCTCTCAAGATTTTGACAGAGTCCCTTGACTTTGGGATTTCTTTCATCGCTTTTTGGACTCTGTCCTTGGTATCAATGTTCCACAATCTTATCTCCTCTTGCAAATTTTTGTAAGACTTTTCTCCAATCCACAGTGGTTGTTTCAACGTCCAATTGTTATTGATGCTTTTCATTAGCAACAACTCTTTATCGTACAGCATCACTTGACGAAACTGACTGATCCCAGGCAATTTCACATCCAGTTCTATGAATCTCCAGCCGTTGTACTGGTAGGGTACCACGGTGTTGTTACGTAAAGTTAAGAGCACAATCGTCCTCCTCGAAATGATCGGTATCACGAACTCGCCGGTTGAAATTTGTTGAAACGGTACAAAGCGGCTGCGTATCTCCTTGTAAACGACAGCGGAGGACTCCTTTGATAATGTTAAATAGTGTTCCATGAAGTGGCCCTGTGTTAGTTGAAAGTAAGAGACGTCCCGACTCGACGGCAATTTCTGCACGACTACGAACTTGTTGGATCTCAAGGAGTACTTGAAAATCAACGTGGATGGCCCGGTCACCGCCAGGTACATAAACCCCTTGCTTTGAAAGGGAATTAACTTCTCCGTACCGACGTTGATGACCTGCATCAAGTCGAAGTAATCGCCAAGCCATGTGTAAATCGACACGTTCGAGCGGGACGCTGTCGCCAAGTGCAACAGACTCATTCCGTTCCAAATTGCTAAATTACTTATACCGTCCAATTCGAGGCTCTGTACTAACCGCAAGCTGTCTTGAACTTTGCTGAAGCTCAAAATGAGAAATCCGTCTTGATGTTGGATTATCAGAAGCGCCTCGTAAGGGCAGCTGTTCACCATCAATTGCTGCCCGTTTCGCACGGGATGGTAGTCCACATTGTGGAGAACACCATTCTAAAATAAAAAGTTTGATTTTCAAAGAAATTCAGTCATATGTGTTACATTTTGAGAGTGAATGCATTACGTTTATCCGATGGAGGGATACCCCGGAGACGTCCAAAACTACAGCGAACCAAACCGTTTCGAGTCCATATTGGAGAGAGAAGAAACTTACGTCTCGGACGTTCTCGAAATTGAATTCATCAATGTCATGAAATCCATTGAGTACACTGATACCTGCGAACATTCAAATTCAAATTCAAACTCAACTCGATTCGTTGAATCGATTATCGAAATTTCAGGCGATTCAGTTCGATTCGAGCACATTGATGCCTGTCAACGTTCGAACTCGAATTCAAATTCAAATTCAATTCGATTTAACAAATCGATTATCGAAATTGGCGAGTCAATTCGATTCGAGTGACACCGATGCCAGCGAACATTCGAACTCGAATTTAAATTTTAGGTCAATTCGACTCAACAAATCGAGACTAGCGATTCAGTTCGATTCGAGTCTTTTTTCTTTATAGATTCAAATCGCAGCGCCGCCTCGCTAACTGGCCATTGTTGTGTACAGGTTAGGCGACCATTGCCATCCCTACCAGTTCGCGAAACGGCCAAGTAGTAAGTACACGAGTTTCGCGTAAAAGCGAAATTTGTGGCGTACATATCCTCCCTTGGTAACTGACCGTATTTACCGACCGATCGATCTGTGGCCAGTTACCAAGACGGTAATACACGTGTGTTGTTATCTTGTCGAGGCTTCGATAACCTTAACGTCGCTTCTTTTTCGTTTTTTTTTTCCCTCCTTTCGTTTCCATTTGAATTAGAAATAATTTAACGCGCACGTCCATATGTGTTCCAACGAGCAACATGTCAACATACGAGGAAATAAAACAAAATTTAGAAATCCAGATCAGCGAACTGGAAGTGTTGCAGTCTATTTATCCAAAAGAGTTAGTAATTGCGGATTATGGAGTGCTGGCTGATGTCAACGAGTTTGTCAGAAACCCGATGCAAGAAATGCCACAAAGGCTGGAATACTCCGTTCATATACCGCTGAGTAACGTAAGAGTACCGAAATTCAATATTTTGCTCATGCATGTAATAAACACACACGCCTGTATGTAACATCTCCTGAAAAATTAGTATTTAATCTTTCGCAGAGGCCTATAGAGTTATTAATTAGTCTGTCGTCTAATTATCCAAAGGAAAAGCCAGAGATTTACGCAAGGGGCACCTCCCTAAATCGAAGTCAACAATTGTCTTTGAACCAGGCGTTGAATAGCGTCCTTGAACGTCAGGAGGACAACGAGCCCTGCATCCATGTATTAATAACATGGCTGCAGGACAACGGGGAAGAATTTCTCAAAGAGTCCACCCAAAGTTTAAAGAGAAAAGACAGAGACACAAGCAACATGCCTACAGACTTCGCCAGATACTGGATATACAGCCATCACATATATAGTAGATTTAAAAGGAAAAAGATAGTCGACCTGGCAAAAAGCAGCTCCCTCACAGGTTTTTGTCTGGCAGGAAAGCCAGGTGCGATTTGCATAGAAGGTGCCTTAGAAGACTGTGACTATTGTTGGCATGAGGTACGAATCTCCTTAGTTCTTCAAGCTGCTATTTAATTCTTAGTGTTGTTTACGATCACAGGAAACTAAGTTCTGTTTTTCAAACATTTCAGATTAAGTCTCTGAAGTGGCAAAAGATAACATTGAAACTGATTGAAAAGGAACAAGATTGTAAAGACATAAACGCGATACGTAAATTCGAGAACTTTAAGGAAATATTATTCACTAATGACGGACGGCAAAATAACTTGGGCCAGATGTTAAAATATTTGGCGGATCACGAGTCTCAACATACGTTTAGAAGCCTATTTGATATTGAAAGTAAAATGGCAGCTAAATCGACCGATTGATGATTAACGATAGGCAACCGTCGCGACTCTAACAATTTTGTTATAGAAAATAAATATATTTATAATGAGACGATACACCTGTTATTTTCAACATTTTTAATAAACGCTTACCTTCAACGGGATTCTCGCGTAATTCTCGTTTACGACGGGCAGAGATCGTTCTCGACGTGTTTCTGATGTATTCCGCAACTTTCGTGTTAATATCGGCCAGTTTATCGTCGTTCAAACCTTTCGACGCTAAAAACAAAATTTCGACATGTAGTACACAAACAATACGGTGATTTCGAAAGTTTTATCGTTCGAAATTTTATACCATAGTCCGACTTCAATCTCCCAAAGAAATCTGATGTGTCTTTGAGTGCATAGTTTAAAGCACGATTCTTTTTAATGTATTTATCACAATTCGCAATGTCGACTAATATCAAAATAAGCAACAACTTTAATATCATAGTTGCACACTTATTACTTAGAATGCCAGTTCACAATTAGATTATAATTCATAGATGGAATGAAGGTATTTACATTTTGTGTTTACATTTTTTTTTTCTTGCTGATGACAGAAGTAATTTAAACATGAATACATATACATTGTGAGTCTGACATACACATTGTATCTGTTCCCTAATGAATATTTCATCAATTGTTCCCCTTATTATTAAATTCTTTTGCATGATTAATATTTATTATTATTATCATTATTATTTTTTATCTAACTGTTGCATAACGCAGAAATTCATTGGTAAGAAATTGGCCTGCGACGTAAGGAGCAGGTGGTCCAAGAACGTCCTGTGTAGGACTGTAAACTTTAATTTGCCTCATGTGCGTGTCACGTCCATTCTGATGGTTGCTTATCACAGCTATTTGTATCATAAATGTTCTGATAGGCCTGTCATTTATATCCTTTATGGGAATGATGACCCAGCCACTTGGTTCATTTAGATCCATAACTTCTATTTCTTGAAGGTCATTGAAATTAGTGCCTGCTCTAATGCTTATCCTAAAAACGACATTGTATCAACAATCGATTGTCCAACATCTGTTATTTTCATATAGAGCGAAAGATACATGCAACGTTTCTTACCTACTTGGGGTATAACTTTCGTCCAGCTTGTAGTCTGTGTATATACATATGTCGCGAATCGTTGTTTTCCTCTTGAACTGAATGTTTACCAAGTGTGGAAGTTGCCCATCGGATTGCCAATAGGTCTCTGTGATGTCGTCGCGCAACTGGTCCACGCCAAAGCCAGGTTTACAACTGGACAAACTCCAGATTGCATGGTTCCCAACTTCACGTACACGGCCGGCTAGTTCTTCCTGTATAGGATCTACTTCTCCTAGAAAAAAAAGAAGCACATACATCTCAGGCAAGATGCAAGTAATATAATGCAAATTAAAAAAAAGACAATTACCTGTATTACCAGTTTTGTTACTCATCGCTAATTTTTGTGCTTGATCAATTATAGAGATCAGCTGACAATTTCTGGCAGAAAATCTGACTCACTTTTTCTCATCAAGTGGATCAAAAATTACGTATATATTTGCGCTTGTTTATTTGGAAACCTCTGTCAAAAGCGTGACGTTTGTTCTTTTGCTGCCATCTACGATCAACGCGCGATCCGAGTACATGAAAGAGCATGCACGTGTCGAAGTTAACGTCGGTGTTATCTTTTTCTTCTTTTCTCATGTGTGTATGATACCACCTCAGCAAGCTATGTTCGTGTAATCGGTAATTAACTACGTATATAGGCTCAATACAAAATGTGTTTTTTCTCTCTTCACGTTTAACAAAAACAAGTTGAGAATCACTGGCACTGTCCGATGGTTCAGTGGTACCCAATTCGTAAGTTCGTCAGATGATCCTTCAGGTGTAAACAATTGTGAACGAACAGAACGAAATGGATCAAATAAAGATCCCGAAGGTATCGTGGCAAACACCTGTTTCATTTATCGTAAAGTTGTCCCGAACGAATTTTGTAACCGCGATTGCGAATGTCTGTCAATATGATATTCACCAATATGTCCTGCCAAGCACTGGCATAGATTGATATCTGTAAAAGAAAATAACAAGAGAGATAATCATCCTTACATAATTATCGTTAGATTGAATATAGAAAATTTCATGCATTTATTTTCAATAAATATATACTTTCTGAGATATGTATGTGCGTATGTATAACTTAAAGAGTCAGAGTGATGTCATTATTGTATGGAAAACTTTGTGATTTTAGGTGGAGAACGTGAGGATTTTAGATAAATATAGTAACAATCACTTAATTGGTACTCTCTATTTAACTGTAACACACCTTATATTTACAGAACGAAGTGGGAAGAAGAAAATTTGGGTACGGAAGTGAACTTCTTGTATTAAACATATTGGGATTGTTTCTTTCATTTTTTTTGTTTTCAAGTAACAGATATTCTGACAATACATTTTGTCGTAGGTGTTATATACTCACATTGCAAACATAGAGAAGCAGCCACTGACTACAACAGGCTCCCCACTGTGCATTAAATGCAAACACTTTTTTATTGTAACGTTTATTATTCCAAAGGAACGAGATTGCCATGATATATTCCTTACTCTATCAAAGTTATCTTGCCCAGGTAAACACTATTTTGTACAAAGCATTTGATTGAAAGATTTTTTGTCCTTACATGTCTCATTTTCAGCAAGTTTAGAGGATCTTTATTGTTTTCATCATCAAGTGAACAAAGATACATTGCCACAGCATGCAGGATGGAATTTTTTTAATTTACAAAGTGAATTTCAAAGGCAGGGAGTTCCAAATGAGGAGTGGTCTCTGACGTATTTGAATACGAATTATGAGGTAAACGTTTATTAGTTATAACATTTATTGCGATATTTTTACATTTAAAATATATTTTTTACAATTTTCAGCTTTGTGATACTTATCCAAAGTATTTGTACGTACCTAATATATGTACCAATAGTATCTTGATAGGCAGTGCAAAGTTTAGAAGTAGAGGGAGATTACCTGTCTTAACATATTTACATTCCAATAAGGTACGCATGTTAGTTAAAGAAAAAATAAACAGAAACATTTACAATATCTAAAATATTGTGCAGGCCGCTATTTGCCGATGTAGTCAACCTTTGTCGGGATTTAGCGCACGATGTCCCGAAGACGAGCAAATGATGTATAATATTTTGCGAACAAATCCTAATTCTAAATATATGTATGTTGTAGATACACGACCACGAGTAAGTTTATAAAACGCCTAGCAAAACTATAGTTCTAGTTATGCTGCTATAAACTGCTTCTCAGTGAGCCATTATAGAATTCAGTTCAATTAAATCTTTGTATACTTATTTAGATCAATGCCTTTGCTAACAGAGCTACAGGAAAAGGATACGAGAACGAGAACTTCTATGATAATATAAAATTTCACTTCTTCGGTATTGAGAACATTCATGTGATGAGAACAAGTTTAAACAAATTAATCGAATGTGAGTATAGTGACTTTGTTTTGAAATTTTCATATAAATTGTGAATTTTAATGCTTTTAATCATTGTCTAGTACAAAGGACGACGTCAATGAGTACATTTTTAAGCGGTTTGGAAAGTAGCGGATGGTTAAAACATATACGATCTATTTTAGAGACTGCTTGGTTTATTGCTAGAGCAGTTTCGAACGGAGTTAGTGTAGTTGTACATTGTAGCGACGGCTGGGATCGTACTGCTCAAGTATGTTCATTAAGTGCTTTGTTATTGGATCCATTTTACAGAACAATTCAGGGTTTCCAAGTAAGAAAGTCATTAATTTTTATTAAAAATTTTTTATTTCTCGAATAAAGAAACTACATAGTTTTGTTGGACTTTTAGGCACTGATAGAAAAAGACTGGTTATCGTTTGGACATAAGTTCAGTGACCGATGCGGTCATATTAACTGTGATAATAAAGAATTAGCACCAATTTTTACACAGTTTATCGACGCAACGTATCAATTATTGCAGCAATATCCTTATAAGTTTCAGTTTAACGAATTCTTTTTGATAACTCTCCACGATCATGTACACAGCTGCCAATACGGTACTTTTATAGGAAACTCGGAGAAGGAAAGACAAATTCTCAGGTACTATTTTCGTAACAATCTTACTTCTTGTCACTTTATTTATACTTTTTAATTATTTTTAGAGTATCGGAAAGAACGTATTCTCTGTGGGGATACATTGCAAATAACATGCATGAGTATATAAATCCTTTGTACAAGTGCAGTCGTTTTAACGAAGAAACTAGTCCTGTCCTCCAACCTAAATTGGCACCGCAATGCATTATGTAATGTATAATTTTAATGAATTAACATATTCAACAGTTACTTCGTTCGTTCACATAAAATGTAATATTTTTAGTTTATGGCGAGGACTGTACTTTAGATTCGAAAACGGTATTCACCCAAGAGAAACGTACGAAGATTACCTTACGATAATGCATGATCACACCAGTTGCTTAGAGGACCACGTTAAACTCCTTGTAAAGGTACGAATATCATTGAACTGTCTTCTTTATTTATTAGACTTCTAATGTTGTGTTTAACTTTGAACAGAGAGTCAACTCTTTGAATTCGATGTTGAATTTAAATAACATCCAAAAGAAGGGAGTGCAAGAGAAACTAAACTTCGATAATAAATACACGAAGGATCCATTATCTGAAGCCATAATAGAAAATACACCGAATCACGAAGAGAAAGCGAAATGTAAGATAAAAATTAGTCAGTTACAAAACGAATTGAAAACAGTTGCCTTGGATTGGAAGTTATTTCGTAACATGGAAGAGTGTGTATGTTCTACTACGTTTGATGCATTTAATAGAAAGGTAAACGTATTGGTTTAATTTGAAATCAAGTTTAACTTAATTTAAGTTTAATTTAAAATCAAAAATATAAGTGTATTTTCTTCAGTACCATTGTTGGTCGTGTGGAGAGGTATTATGTACAAGATGCATGGGTGCACACACTGTTCTTGCTGGACATCATTCACAACGTGCAGTGCCTACTTGTAAGTCATGTACACAGAATTCCAGTATTCCTTCTACTAGTCCCTAAATTAATTTTTTTTTAAACACTTATTTAAATTTGTAAGCTGTACCTAATGTATATTATGTACGGTCATTAGATTATATAACGTTAAGATGGGAGTAATAATATAGTAACGTAAACATAAAAAAAATTTGATCCGATGGAAACTATTAATAGAGAATTGTACATTTCACATTTGTTTTTTTAATGTGTATTTGAACCAAAGCATGTCAAGTTAAAAAGAAAAAAGGGATATACGAACGTAAAAAATATTGCGAATAAAGACACAATTTTATTTTAATTTGTATTCAACACAAATTGTATTAAGCACAATCATACTTCTTCAAATAAGACTGTTTTTATTTTATATTTCTTTATAAGATATGTAGATAGGCAATGCTTTGTTTTTAAGATCAGAAACAGCCTTTCAGAAATAAGATTAAACAACTTACTTTTACCAATTCAATCTTCTTTTCTTTAATTTTTCAATTAGAAAAGAACAACGGTACAATTTAATGGAACTTAAAAAAAAAGCGTTTACAGTTTTTACGAAGTAAAAAGCAGGAATTTACTGAACACAAAAAAAAAGGATTTTTCACAATTTGTTTGATTATTTTTAAACAACTTCAAACTTAACAGTTATAAATAATACAACATGATGTGACACAAAATTATTTCATTCGCATTGTACACTTTATTAAACATAATAGCAAAGGAATGAAATATTATTTAAGAAAAATTGTTACACTGAGTAATATTATAAATGCCTATGAAAAAGTAACTGATAATATTACGTGGAACGTTAAAAAATTATTTGACACGATCCACGAACATTTTAAAAAAGAGACGCATCTTCTGCTTTGTTGTACAGACATTGTGAATAAATCTATTCTATTATTCATCTTTCTTTTTTTTTAATATTTATACAATAACAAAAATTACATTGCTACACAGTATTAAGGCATAAATAGTTACACCGAACATCATTCTTACAAATTTGTTGTTTCTTTTTTTATTTTTAAGTATTTATATCATTCATACGGGTGAGAAATATGCTTCAATGTGAAAATTACTTTGCTTAAAAAGTATGACTTAATGAAAAATTACACACGAGAACCAAATACCTAAATTCATGTTTAGATAGAAATCTGGCTCCTAGTAACATTTTATATATAATTATATATTGAAAAAAATTCAAACTTTCACAATGGCAAGTGTTCAAGTGGAATGTGAGTGTTGCATAAATACCTTAGCATTACGAATTCCTTTAATTTTAATTCATTCTATTCTTTATTTGGTTTTCTTCGTCGTGGTCCATCGCCACCTATTGCTGGATTATCCTGAAAGTAAATTAAACATTAAAATAAACGTTTCAACAAAATTATTTCCATTCTATTGTACAAAAGAAATATTTGCTAACATTATCTTCATTCTCTATTATTTCTTCATTTTCATTCAACTTTTCAGTTTCCTCCTCTGCCTCGGCACTAGACAGCGGATTTTCTGTTTCTTCTTGTTTCTGTGCTGTTTGTTCATTTGGTTCTAAAGGCTGTTTATCTTCGTCCTTTAGATCGTATTTGTCCTAAAAGAAATTTATAAATTTTATATTTTACGTACATAAAAAATCTTTACAAAATTACTTTTAAAAAGCCAAGAATTAATTTTCATTAACTATTGTGATTAGCATAATACAAAATTAGAAATTAAAAATACTGTACAAACACTATTAGAAAAAAAAAGTATAGATTAAGGGTTGATGATTCTTTTGTACCTGGGAGGCAAAGCAGCAACAATATATTATTAGCAATATGGGGAAGCCAGGAGCTATTATATATATACCCCATATCCAGGGATGTTCTGCAGTAAATGTGCCAATTTGACGCCATACACTCCACTGTGTAAAATAATCACAACAAAATTACAAGTCATGTGATTTATAAAACAAATCTCACGCTTATATCTTTATAGTTACACACAATTTTTATAAAATAAGATTCTTAAGAATCAATGAATATCTGCATTTTTCTTTTAAATTTTTTATGCTACTACTTTATGTGATTTGCAGCTAAGAGAAATATATACAATTTTTAGGCTATATATGTAAAAGATCTATACGAATACATTATGCTATGAAAGGTTTAGCCACTATACTATTATACTTTGGTACCAATATTACAGATACTTGTACGTTCTACATCACAAAAAGATATACCTCGCGAACTCGCTTCAATAGGTACCAAACGTATAATACAACTGGTACTGCACAATATATGAAATATAACGCCCACCAGCCTGGTTTATAATTCGTTGCTTTTAATATGCGACCCCATAAAGTTACCTGCATAGTATAGCGGATATATATCGCATACATTTCATTAAAATTATATCTCTTGTAAGTTTATTATATATTATTTGAATGTAAATTTGTAAATTTCTTTTGGATAAATGTTAAATTATGATTGATGTTTGGATGAAGAGAAATTACTTACACTCTCCTCCGCAATTCGAGCCCGGCGTACTTCGAACGTATCTTCCGCCCATTTCCTTGCAACTTCATCATCATCAGCAATAAGAATATTATCAAAAAGAATATCCGTGGACATTGACCAAAGTTCAAAACCCACAGCAAACTAAAAATCCAAATATAAAACAATTCTGTAAATACGTGTAAAGTTATCTTGAGAATTATAATTTATACAAACGTACAATAGGCATCATCCGGAATGGATGCTCATCGTTAAAGTAATTAGGATTATGTATTAATCTTGGTTTCCATTTCCCCTTGTAATTGGGATTGTTGATCATGGGTGGTGTCCATTTCCCCTTGTACCGAGGATTTTTTTTCATCTTTTGTTTGTATGGTCCGCATCCAGGCGCGTCGGCACACTTTGGATTTGGAATTTCTGGAGGTTCCCAGTCTCCGTCCATTTCAACGTCCCAATCCTCGGGTTTCACAGAGTCAGGGTTGGGAATCATAGGGGGTTCATCCTCGAGCCATCCTTCGGGCATAACGTCGTCTTCGTCAACGATTTGAGCTGGCGCATCTTCGTCCCAATCATCTGGCTTAACAGCTGATAGATCAGGAATCTTTTCTTTATCATCCCAGTCCTCTGGCTGAACATCAACAGGATCTTCTATTTCCAAAGGTGGATTAACTGGTGGAGTGAAGTCGTCCAATAGAGATCCAGAATTGACTATTTTATTGTCGATCTTGATCTCAAAACTATTGTTTGGCCGGATGATCAAAGTATATAGATGAGGCTGCTTATCCTTGAAAAAATCTTCCAAACGCTCTCTAGGTTTCTTACAGTGTTTCTCTTCTATAGAATCATTTAGAGGATTTTTGTGTCGAAAGATAAAATGCAACTGCGTTAAAGAAAGAAACAATTAATTGATCTGGAATAGTTTGTCTAAAAACAAAATTTGTGTTTTGTTTGTATGTATATACCTTGTGATCGTTTCCACATTTATCAGGTCCAAACATTATAGTGTAAGGACTTTTATTGTGAAACTTCTTTAAATCTTGATGGTCCGGGTCCAGAGTAAGTAGCTTTAAATAAGCCCCGCCGCATTCTTGGCCTTCTTGGAAATTTACTTCATATTGTACAATTAACGGATTATCATTAAAATAAAACGGCTTGGATAACATAGTCGACAAAGCAGCATGTCTAGCTTTGCTCTTAAGAACTAATCCCAAGTCTCCCTCTTGAGCATGTTTCTTGGGTTCTTCTACAGACCAAATTCCTACAGAAACAATTCCTACATTATAGTCTTACATCATAAAAATTTAATCGTATCATCAGTTTACTAGAAACCCAAACAAATTTTTTCCTTTAGAATCTATTATTTTAGATTATAAATTGTTTCTTAATGATAGTACTTCTTATTAATATACATATATTTAATCTTATTGTCCATTTAGTTTTTTATCAGACTGCTCTTCGTCTTAGAGCATGATTCATTTCCAAATTCAAAATCATTCAATTCTATATCAAAAGAGCATCAAGATTAAAATCAATAAAGGGAAGTGATTTCTATGGTTAAAGACGGAAAATTATTAAAATAATATTAGGCTAATATCGACTCGTCCCCTAGAATATATTCTTTTTGACAAAATTCGCATATTTAATATAAGTTTACAAATAATTCAAGCTGTCTGAGAAACTGGTTTGAATTACATCACTTCTGAAATATGTGCGGAAGCTTGATCATTTTTCAGAGAATTATGCAAACTGATGATATTCACGAATAGAGCAAGAGATAAGAAATTAACCGTCGTATTTTGCTATGTCCTCGTCGACAGAGTCTTTCTTTGCCTCCGAGAGGACCCAAGTCCTCTTGAATTTCTCCTCATCGTCGAACGTCTCGACCAAATACACGAATCCCGAGACTTCTGGTGTTTTGTAAACTACCTTCGTTGCCGTTGTATCCTGAACATCGTTACCGTCATTCTCATTAGCCTTGATAAAGCTGAACAGTAGACACAGATAAATTGTTAAGTTTGCTAGAAGCCTGGCCATCTCATATTCCTAGAAAATGAAAAAAAAAAAAGAAATAGTTACAAAGCAAAGTATAAGAACAGAAGGAATTAGTCGCGGAGGTAGACAAGGAAGAAGATTCACGGTACTTACCGAATTCAATCGACGTGCATTGACTCCTCAACGTGAACGACAAGGGAGGGAGATCACCGTCACACCGTGGATGATTCAATTAAACAATAATGGTAATTCAATTACGTGGGGGAGGTCTGTCTGCGTTCCAAAATGCGGCAACAATGCCGGAAAAACGGCGTGTCCCGCCTAATTAAATTAATTGAATTATCGAATAAAATCCTGCGGCCGTGGCAGCCGATGGCAACGACGATGCAACCCGAGAGGTGACTCCAATCCGGATGCGTCTAACGATGTCGGGCCTGTTTCAGCTCTCTGCGGTTCTTGGTTTCACCTGAGGAGGAAAAATTAATCGACCTTCAAGGGAACATTTCCAACTCGAGCATTCTCTGACGATTCGTCCAACATACCACTCCCCTTGAACATCGCCCGGTGAAACCCGTCGTCGCAGTGATTCCCAATATAAGAACACGGAATTCTCCAAAAAAACTGGACACTAATAATTCGTATTTCGTGTTCACTTCAAGAATCTTAAGAATAATCCGCAAATATCAGCTTTTTATCGAGGGGATTGTTAAATACTGCGGCTTTTGATAAATTGCGCGATGAAGGAAAGAAAGAAAAAAAAAGAACTAACAAAACATGGTTACATTTTTGTTTCTGGTGTCGCCGATTGAGAATCACACCTTACTCTGATAACGCAGAGTTACGTCAAATCAAAAATTTCGTAATTTCCGCATTCCTTCGAAAGATATTTATCCGTTATAAAAAGTGGAATGTAATTTTCAACATTTATTCGTATATTGAAAATGCAGTTCGTTGGAAACGCAGTGTGAAGCGCGTGAAATTTGAAAAGAACATTTGATCATCTTATCTTTTTTCGTAATTTATGAATTCTGTGTAAAAGATTATTGAATGACGGAGTCGAAAAAATAATTCTACGTAGATTAAGAGATCAAAAATCAATAAAATCTGGGATAAAGATTTTCACGCGGCGTTTAATTTCCAGTGGAATACAAACAGCCAATCAGAGGGCTAGGTAAAAAATCGGAGAGAAAAATTTTTCCGCTTAAAGTCCCATTTTCAAGGAATTGGAAATTTTGTTTTAATTAAGAAAGTATAAACCTTTAATTTAATTCGAAAACAAAACGGCCTGTGAAAAAATTCTCGACATTTACTATATAATCAAGTCTATTTTTACTATATAATCAAGTCTAATCAAATTAAGGCAAATTTTCAAACACAATGATCTCGAGAATGAAATGTTTTCACTGATCAATGGTTTAATAATTGTTACATTTCCATTGAAAATTTACATCTTTACGAATTTATTACAATGGAAAGTATAATAATTCGTGTATCTTTGGCTGGTAAAAATTAAATTTACGCTTCTACGATAATTTGCATCAATGTATACTGAATAAATAAATGTAAAAGGGAAATAGTTGTCTATTATATAATTGCTTCTTTTACTATCGACAAGCTACGGATTTTTATATATTCAAAGGTAAGTTTAAAGACTCAAAGATGTGGTAAAAATATATAAAATATATTACTAGATATAATGTTTGAGTTAATATTGTCCTGCAATCGAGTTTTGCTCTTCTCAGCCTTTACATTTTGTTCTATAAAATTTTATATTCTCGTTATTTGTATACCCTGTATCTTTTATATTTTTTTACTGCAGATTGAAAAATTGGGTCAACGTTGGATATTCAAAACATCGTAACTTAACTTCGTGGTCGAGAAGTGTCGCTTGACTCGGCTCCGCCGACGAGACTCGGGGCGAGTTTCCAAACGGTTCGAGCTACGAGTTCGCAAATGCGCCCATCATTGTTACTGATTGTTCGCGGGGCTCTTGCATTGGGGTCAACTCGTCTCGGTTCGAATGATCAGCTCCTTCGCTCTACATGTGAAGCAAAAAAAGAGGAAAAAAGAGAAATACATTGGAAAACGCGGTCCAAGACGTCCCGATAACAATTGACACTGATAGAAAACAGTCACGGTTTTGCTGTCGCGTATGATTCCGAGGTGACGCGTGATAATCGATAAAAAAAAAATGTTTGTTAGTACGCTGGACACGCAGGCCGATGTGTTGATCATCGACTCCGGGCTGAGAATTTAATGCACGAAGCCAGTATTGGTAAGCATTCCGGTCAGTTAGCGAGAAAGGTGGCCAGTGTGACAAATGTAAATAGAAGGGGTGGACGCAAGGCCAAGATATTTGGGGAGGTACGAGAGGGAAACGAGTTAACCGCGCGTGTGCGCCTACCGCGAGCCACGAAGTGAACACACCGTTGTCGCGAGGAAATTCTCTTCACTGATCTCGAATGATACACGAGAAACGAGGGAGAGACAGAGAAACTGGCCGAGGAGAGAGAAGGAAACCACGAGAGCACGTCGCTTGAACTTGAAATGCTGCACAATGAGAATTCATTCGTCGTAGCGAACGTCGTCCGTTAATTCGATTTCTTGTCTTCGTCTTCTTTCTCTCTCTTTCTTGTTTTGTTTTCTCTCCCGTTTGTAGTGTAGCGCCGCAACAAGTATTATTTTTATACAACACGACAGCAGCGGGAATCCCTATTGGTGAGGCCGACCGTGACACCGACAGTGTTTTGTTTCGTTGATTCAATGGTTGATGCTGCGATGTGGTTCTGGCCCTCGTGTTTAACGATTTGAAAAAGGGGTTTGTACCTTTTCTCTCTCTCTCTCTCTTTTCCTCTCTCCCTCTCCCTCTCTATCTATCTGTCTCTATCTTTATTTTTGTTTTTTTTCCTTAATCATAAAAGTTTGCCCTCCTGTTTGTTAGAGCGAAACGTTGAATGAGACAACGTAGATCTCAGATCTCTCACGATTACCTCGAGAAAGTCAGCAAGAGACAGAGAGTTGCTCACAAGGTGGAAGACGTTCACATACAGGCAAGAAGAGGCTTGTAAGGATGGCATCGTCCATGGTGGCTGTCCCCTCTGGCACGGCATCAGTCTCAGCTGGAACTGGTATCGCCCAAAATGACGACGTGGAGAATGGAAACGTGTTCAGCGAACGAAACATAAATGCCGTCACCAGCTGCAGCGAGACCTCGAACTCTGGCAATGCTCTGGAGGAGATCAACTGCGGCTCCGGGGAGTCTGGTGATCAAGAATGCGCCATCTGCTTGAGCAAACTCTGTTCACCACGAGTGCTCTCCTGTCTCCATGTGTTTTGCGAGGCGTGCCTGGACAAACTTCTGATGGATGAGGCGGGCGACTCGAAGGTTAGCTCCGTACTGGTCTGCCCGCTCTGTCAACAAGAAACTTCCATTAGTTCTAAGGGTGCCGCGTCATTGACGTGCGACTACGTTTTAACGAACATACTTGACATGTCTGCGATCGAGAACATGGCTGTACTTTGTACCTCGTGTAAAGCCAAAGAGAGCGCGGTCGCGCGCTGCTCGGACTGTGCCAACTTCTTGTGTCCGAATTGCAATACCGCGCACCAGTTCATGCGTTGTTTTGAAAGCCACAAGGTCGTGGCGTTTGAAGATTTGAAGCAATCCAACGAAGCTATACCGATACATAAACCTATTTTTTGCGAGTATCATCCTGCTGAGAATATGAAGTTTTATTGCTATACTTGCCAGGTAATTGCTTTTTTTCCTTGATCAAGTTCCTTGATTATGTGACAATTCGTTGAAGTCGGTTGAGCCCATACTAAGTATGGATTATGAATAGACTTGAACTTTTTACCATTATTATTATTATCATTACTGTTAGAAGCATTGGGATATTGTAAAGTTCATTTTATTGATTGTTCAATTCAGGAACCTATATGTAATGAGTGTTTGCTTATTGAACACAAAGCTCCAGAGCATCAGTATGAACGGCTAATGGATGCCGAACCACGTCAGAAGGAAGAATTAATAAAGCTGATGAACGAGAGCAAAGCAAGAATTGCAGATTGCGACCAAGTGTCTGCACAATTAGAGAATGCGCTTAGTGAACTGCAAGCACAACATGATCAAGCTAAAGATTTAATTGTAGAAACGTTTCAGAGTTATAAAGCTGTCTTAGAAAAGTGTCGAGACAATGCCTTGGTTGAACTTGAAAAGTTACATTCGGATAGGGAATTAGAAATAATGGATACATTTCACAGGTAAATGAGACATTCTTTCTTTGTAATGGATATTATTTACATGTTTGAAAGATATTTATCAAACGTATTTATTTACATTCATAGCGTTGAGAAGACGGTGGAGAAGATAGAAGATGCTTGTCGTTTTACCTCCAGACTTCTTGAACACGGCGATGCTGTGGAAATCCTCGCGCTTCGTCGTATCGTAGGAACACAGTTGATGAACTTAATAAAAAACACACCGAAGCCAAATGTTTCGTTTTCTATTCAATTTCAAACAGACTATAACGAGTTTGAAAAAGCGTTAAAGGTAGGTTACTATATTATGTGTAGTCATATTTCAACGAACAGAAATATGTTGAGGAAACATGATTGCAGGAAGTATTTGGTAAATTTCATACTGAGAGTACACCGGTAACAAAATCCATAGCAGAACCAATTACAACTATGCCAGGAGTATCTGCAAATCAACAAGTTGTACATACCTCAATGGGCTGTCCCCGTTCTATTAATACAAGGTCTCCTATCTCTCTTCCCACATCAATGCAATCCTCCTTCGAAGGTGATCCATCATTTGTTATACCTCCAACGTCAAGCCCTCAAAATATTCCACCTCCACCACCTCCTGTGTCCCTTCCTCCAGGTCCCATTCATGGACTCACCAGTATTCAAGAGTACAATCTGCAGCAGTTGGCCAGTTTGGCAGAGAAGGTCGAAATGGTCGGAGATACGAATGTAGTTGGGCCCAGTTCGAATCCCAGCCCAACGCCACCTTTCACTTTAGCAGATTTATTTGCCGGCGATCTGAGTTCTACCAGCCATGCGATTAACAATTTGCAAGCTCTAGCAAAATTAGGAAATACACTTGGCAATCAAGGTACAGAATTGATCACTGACCATAAACTATGAACTACTCCCTTTTTCTGTCTTTTCAACGTCTTTCTTCAAGTCGGTCAGCATTTCTATTTATTTTTTAGATCTTGGCAATCCTGCTATTAACGGTGGTAGCGGTCTAGTATTAGGAAGAGGTCCTTCACCAGCCATTGTCGACACACCAAACTTGAGCCTAGCTGCTAATAGTCTTTTAAACGGAGGATTTCAATCGTTATCCTCGTCTACTTCGCCGATACTTTCACAGGGCGCTGGTAAGATCTTTATGGATTATCATGTATGTTTCAGATAAACTGGAATTATGTATTTGTTGCAGACGATTTAAGAGCAGACTCCATGCACAACATGCCCGTGGTGGTGGGAAACACGGTCGGCAATGTAACTGGTTCTGGTTCTGGGAATTACGCTCATCCACGTTCGAATAATACGAAATTAACTCCCATGCAAATCAGGTGTAAATTTGGGCAGTTAGGTCCGAGCAAAGGTCAATTCAGCTCACCCCACGGATTTTGTTTGAGCGCCGATGAAGATATTATCGTTGCCGATACGAATAATCACCGGATTCAGGTTATTTTCTGCTCAATACTTAAACATTAATTAGCTCAAGCCACCCTCTGCTTCGTACGTTAATTGAAAAAATCTGCTTTTAGATATTTGAAAAGACTGGCGTATTCAAATTCCAATTTGGTGTACCTGGCAAGGAGGAGGGGCAATTATGGTACCCTAGAAAGGTTGCTGTGATGAGGAACAGTGGGAAATTCGTTGTTTGTGATCGAGGGAATGAACGATCGAGGATGCAAATATTTACAAAAAGTGGTCACTTTATCAAGAAGATAGCAATTCGTTACATCGATATTGTAGCTGGCCTAGCTGTAACCAGCGAAGGCCACATTTTGGCTGTTGATAGTGTATCACCGACGGTGTTTGTAATTAGCGATACAGGAGACCTGTTGAGATGGTTCGATTGCAGTGAATATATGAGAGAACCAAGTGATATTGCAATAAGTGGTAAATAATTCCTTTCCGCTTATGTTTAATCGCGTAATGTCTGGCAGGTTTTACGAGTTACAAACTTTTTTTTTTTTCGTTTGCAGGTAAAGAATATTTTGTCTGCGACTTTAAGGGACATTGTGTTGTGGTGTTTAACGAGGAGGGAAAGTTTTTGCGTCGCATTGGCTGTGACAATGTAACAAATTTTCCAAATGGGATCGATATTAGCGATGCAGGAGATATATTAATAGGAGACTCGCATGGCAATCGTTTCCATGTGGCTGTTTTTTCAAGAGATGGTTCCTTGATTTCCGAGTTCGAATGTCCATATGTTAAGGTAAACTGCCCAAAGTTTTTTTAATTTTCTTCTTTTCGAATAGAATGGCCTTAACCTCAGTTCGTTGAGATTAAATTTAGGCCGTTTCCGTTTTCACACGATCACCTGATGGAATTTCGCAGGTATCTCGATGTTGTGGCTTGAAAATAACCTCAGAGGGATATATCGTAACTCTGGCTAAAAATAATCATCACGTTCTCGTGTTGAATACTCTTTACATATCATGAAGCGAAGAGGCAGACCAAATAAATATGTCGTAACTTTCTTCAGCGAGTGGAATTTCCTTGACGAATGTTGCTCTACTCTTAACGAAGAACGAATCGATAAAAATGAAAAAAACAAACCAAAAAACAAAAAAAAAAAAAAAATACCAGAGAAAATATATCCAATACGCCCATGGCATCGAGTTCTTTGAGATTTGGGCCTATTCAAGCAATAGAATTACAAACAAGTGCAGCATGCAGCTTTAATAGTCTGTATCAAAGAAAAAAAAAAATGGAAAAATAAGTATAAATGCGTCCCTGTTTTATGAAAGTAAGAATGTTCGAAAGAAGAAAAAAAAAAAAAAAACAAACAAAACAAAAAAAAAATAAGGTAAACGTACGTCTCCGACCAAAAAACAGTATAATAGTAATTTAGCGAAGTTGCATTTGGTAAACTGCCAAGATAAATTAACACGAGGAAGAAAAAAAAAGAAGAGGAAAAATGAAGTCAAGCAAAGTGGATCGTAGTGAGTGAAAAGAATTGAAAAAAAAAAAAGAAAAGCTGAATTGGATCGCTTTGACTGGAAGTAGAAGAGGAGGAACATATGAAGAGCTAGAAGAGATGCAAGGAAGTTGCAGAATAATAGCTTTCCGTCACAATCGGTCGCATCTTCGACTTCGTCAGTATTTTAGGTATGTTTACAAATCAAATTATTCTAGTCTCTAACGAGCACTGTTTTACACGCTGATTTTTCAATCCGTGCTCGAAGCAACGTGTTATCTTTATCTGTTGCATCGTGACGTCAGAACGGTAGTTATACACGACATGGGGAGAGGAAGGAGAAATTAATAAGATTCTTTCTTCCACACGTTACTTCGAGACCTATTCGTAGACACACTAAGTTTCTAAGGTTTCGTTAAGGATTGTTAGGTAATCTACTAGGCATGTTAATGAAACGAAAGGTTGCGGTTATTAGAAAAAAAAAGTAAATGATAATACAAATTCCTGTGCTTAATGCGAATGGGGAAAACAAACGTTGCATGCTGCGACACATGGTAGTACTTCCTGCTCTTATCATATCATATCCCTATTTAAACAAACAGAAAATGATAAAAAAGAAAAAAAAGAAAGGACGAACAAAATGCAAACAGTACTCCTCGTTACGGCAGGCACGAAGCTTAAACGAAAAGGAAAAATAAAAAGAAAAGAAAGGGAAAAATACGAGCCATGTTCCTGGTGATTCTTTTCGTGCATTTGAAAATTAATAGTTCTAAAAGAGTAAGAGAAACAAAGGAATTTTATGGGACAACGTTAATGTAGGGGGAAAAAAAAAAGAAAGACATAGAATTACAAATATGTTGAAAATCAAACATTTAATTGTCTTGCGGGACGAGGAATCGTACATGATATATTATATCCGAGAAAATTAAAAGAAAAAAAAATCGAAAACAATTATTCTAGACTTGCCACTGATAATAGATCCCGTTTGTGCATTGTTAAAAGAAACAAAAATATATATATATATATTATATAAAATTTTATATAATATATATTATAAAATTTTATAATATATATTATATTATATTATGTTATATTATATATATATGTATATATATTATATATATATAAAATAGACGAGGCACATAATGGTTACAATATTTACTCAGGATGCTTTATTATGGTCCACCATATAAATACATGCGTGTGTGAATTATTGGTTCGTGGTGCTAGCGAATAATAATAATAATATATCCATACCATGTAAATGTATTTGTTATAAAAATTACAGAATCGCTCCGACATTTAACAATGTTGTGGAACGATCATGTAATATATTATACAAGATTCATAAGTATAAAATTATACTATACCGGTATATCATAGGAACAATATCTTTATCTATGTATAAAAAGATTTAAAAAAGAAAAAAATGGAAAAAACAACGTACAGTTTGCTAAACAACTTCTATTTATGTATATATATAATTAAACATGATCAGTAAGGAAAAAAAGATGAAAATTCATGTAAAACACAAACATATATATATAGAAATACACATATTTTTTAGGGTTGTTTACATGATCAGCCTTAAGATTTAATTGAAACTATAAAACAAAAAATAAATGCAATGTGTATACAACATATATATATATATACATATATATATATATACACATTTATATATGCATATATATATATACATATATATCGGGCAAATCGCTATATACTGTGTTACAATTACCTACAATAACGATTGAATGTGAATAAAACTATCTTGCCATACCAAATGTTAGAGGAAGCACATCCATATATATATATATTTCTACTTGGATAGCTTTGACAAATTTGTTTCTCGCATACAAATTGGCTATGCTGAATAGAATTGGTTTTAAAGGGATGAATGGCTGTTTAATGAGGAAGTGGGAGATACGTCGAAAATCTTAGGGAGAACGATGCAAAACTGCAGAAACGATAATAGAGGGCTACTCAAAACAAAACAATAAAAAAAAAAGGAAAAAAAAAGTAAATTTGCGCATAACATTTGTAGTAAATTGCACGAAGCCTACGTACGTACACCTAAGCTAATCAGTCGTAATCATCTTTTATTATTAGAAGTTTTAATTTTATATATATTAAAGAAAGAAAGAAAAAAAGAAGTAATTCTGAAGTATTTAATAGTCATGGTTAGCAGAGTTATATAAATAATGCCTGTGATAATAGTATCGTCAGGATAAGTTGTGTCCTTACAGAGTCTCTGATGTTGTTGCTAGGTAAATATAATTAGAGATACCAAAATGAGAACGTCTTGTGGAAGGTGTATTTCTGTTTAATGCACAATGACACCCGATACAAAGCCATCGAATGGTCTCTAATAATATGTTGAATATAAGAAAGAAAAAAAAATAATAATAATAATATTGAGAAAAAGTAAAGAGAAATATGTTGCAAACATTTTTGCCAGTCATATTTAAAGAAGAAGAAAATAAAAAAAAGTGAACTCATAGTGTAATGAATGGATGACCATGAATGAGAGAGAGGGTCTTTTACCTCACAAAATTATTATATTACGCTCACCTTATATATACTTGAATATTTTAGTATATAGATTTACTCTATTTACATATTTTTATCTGTGGAAGACTACTTGGCTAATTTAGGCCACTGTTGAAATTCACCCCTTATTTGCCTTGATGTTTAAATTACAATAATAATATAAACGGAAAAAAAATGAAACGAGAATTACTTGTTACGTAAATGGTAATTGTGATAGATTTTTTGATGATTTTTACAATCTCAAAAGTCTTATTATCCTAATATGTATAGAATTATAATAGTCACTCTCTACATAAAAACTACATGAAGAAAACTCTGCTTACATTGTTAAAAAAAAATAATAATAACTAATAATTATTAAATGACAAAAAAGTAATGGATATATCACCTTATTGTAAGCAGTTTGTAAGAGACAAAAGATATATATATATATAGTATATATAATATAGTATTATATATATATATATATATTATCAGTCTATTAAAGTAAACTTATTCAGATATGTTCTACGTATTATACTTTTATCTGATCTAATGTTTTTATCGCTATTAAAAAAATATATATATATAAATAAAAACACAGTTTCCAAGGCCTTTTTAGGTGCCACCTAAAAAAATATACTTCGACACGATTTCGGTTTTTGTAATCGTTCTTTGTGTTCGTTTACGATGACGTGCTATCTGTGTGCAGCTTGAAAAACCAAAAAAGAAAAAAAAAAAGAAAAAATAGGGGAAAAAAGAGAAAAAAAGAAACTAAATTCATAAAAGAAAAGGTGTCCATTGTTTTTTTCGCTACTCGTAATCTATGGTATCTCTAAAGCAATGACGAACAAATTTAATTAATTTGACGGAGGATTTTAAAATTTTTAATGCAAGAAAATGCATACATGACCGATATGATTATTATTCCCCTTGGCGAAACTATTTATGTATCAACAAGAGGGACTATCCATTTCCAAAAATTTAAACGAATTTTCTTGCTTAAATGTTTGATTTTACCATTCTTGGCATTGATTGATAATCGGTCTATTGATTGATAATGTGCGCAAGAACACGAAAATGAATACAAATCGAGAGAAGGGTTTCTGGATTAAGTTGCTGCAATTGTAAGAACGTGTACGAAAGAGAATGACACATACACACACACACACATCATATATATATATATAAATATCGGAACAGAAGCCGTTGTTTGCCAGCCGTAAAAGACAATGAAGAACAGGAAGAATTGTGTCGCGTAGTCAAAACCAAAAAGAAAAAAAGAAACGGCAGTTTCAGTCCCAAAGGGAGGAAAAAAGAAAAAAAAGAAAAGAAAAGGACAACTCTGACACGAAAATTAAATATATATAAAATATATGTTCCTGATTTGAAGGTCGCATCACATTTTAAATGATACAATAAAAATAAGATTACACTTGCGAGTTTTTGCGGATATCGCGTCGGGGGCATCTACGCATACAATTATATATATATATAAAATATATATATATACACAAGTAATATATGATATATATATATACATATACACATTAATGATAGGATTTAAAATGAAAAAAGAAAAAAAAAAAACAGAAAAAAAAAGATGCAACATTAACTGAATTCTAGCCTACGGTTAATCATAGTCTTCCTAGAGTTCTGGAAAAAAAGGCAAAGAAAAAAGAAAAAAAAAAACATGAGAAAAGTTTTATCTTTTCGCGGATTACCAGGAAACTTTTTTTCTATTCGAGACTCGTGGCTCTCCCGGAAGTCGGGCCATGGTCTTTCACTATAGCTATAAAGGAGCGTAATAAAATAAAGGAAATTATTATATATCCTACCCTACCCAACCACCTACCCACCCACCCCCCTACAGTGTTTAATGCTGATGAGAATTGGCAGTCGAATAGATCTGCTGTGAAAGACGTTTTATCGAACATGACCTTTACGCAATTGCAAAACGTATTAAATTTAAAGATGGGAAGATAAGGGAAGATATAGAAGAAGAAGAAGAGGGAAAATGAGAGAACCGTACATGCATATATATTTGTTTTTTGTTTTTTGTTTTTTGTTTTTCCTCTCTCTTCAGGCGTTATTGTTCAACGTATATTTGTACAAAGATTTAAACATAGCGGACATAGGAGAGAGGGAGAGGATGAGAAACAGAAGACGAGTTCGCAAAAATTAGGAACTGTAATTTTTTTTTTTTTTTTAATTAATTAGGTTATTAATGTAGAACAAGTACGTCTCTTTGTTACGTTTTTCCTCTTTATTATTTTTTTTTCTTTCCTTTTCTTTTTCGTCGTTTTACTCATTTCTTGTAGGTCGTTTTTAAGTAACAACTGTTTCCTTTTTATCTTCGTCGAGGCATTAAATATGTGTTCTTGTGTCGGTTGTTTGAAGAAAAGAAAAAGGGCATATTTATATGTATATATTGTCGAATCGTGCTGGTTTTTTCCCGCGCTTTTGTTTTTTTCCCAATTTTAGGCGCGTGCGTTTTACCATTTCACATGACGATTATTATTATTATCATTATCATTATTATTATTATTATTATTATTATTATTATCATTAAACAGGGACACCACTTCTGGTTTTCCATTTTTTTTTCTATTATTTATGGCACCTCGTGTGGGGTTTTTTCTTTTTTTTTTTTTTTTTGTTTCCCCGCATGACTTCAACATTTTATATCACTATTATTATTACTATTATTAACAATATTATTAATATTCGTATTCTTATTCTTATTATTATTATTATAACTTTTGTACTTTTGTTTTCTTTTTTTCCTCCTTAATTTTTTCGATCATTGTTACTTCCGTAAAATGCAATTTTCGCTTTTTTTTTTTTTTTTAATTGAAAAATTCCTTTTACGTATTTTATTCCTCCCTCACTTTTTTTTTTAAATGGCATTCAGATCCTTTTTTTCTTTGTCCCCTCCTCCCCGTTCCCCAATACTCAAATCGAAGTGACGAAAGGCATAAAAAGATTTTCTTCGTCTCGTTGCCTCTCGAGACGCCACTTCTCAACAATTTAATTTTCATTTCCTTGGCCAGACTTTCGAATTTTCTTTTCTGTCGATTCGCATAAGCAAGCTTTTTTAAAGAACTCTTTATTATTGTTGCTAATATTATATTACGGCTATTATTATTACTATTATGATATTTTTTAACAGTAGATTCCATCGATAAAGATACATTAATTTAAGCGTAGTTTATCGTTAAGACTTCCCCCTTTTTATTTCTTGTGTTTTACTTTTTCTTTTAATTCGAAAAAGACAACATGTAGATCTCACGATAAACGCCGAGAAAAGTTTCTCGATTCACCGTATTAGTGCCAAACGGCTATCTTCTTCGAACGTATAGTCCCTCCTTCCGTCGTTCTCTCTTCGTTAAATTTTTCTTTTTTATTTATTTATTTTCCTCGTTTTTTTCTTTTAGTTCAATCCTTCTTTTTTTTCTCTTCTTCTTCTTCTTCTTTGG